ACATTTGTTAAATTGGATTGACTACAGTGTGTCTCTGTTTCAGTGAGGCACTTGACAAAGTCGTGATATCTTTGGGACCGAGAAGAGGCATTTGAGCTGGAAGGTAGTGTAGTAGTGGATTTGTAGCTGGCTAAACAATCTTAGCTGGTTGAACTATAGCTAATAGATTAATAATAATAACAGCTAATAGATCAGTGTCAGCCTGAAGGGAGCTCCCTAGTGGGGTGTGTGTGTGTGTGTGTGTGTGTGTGTGTGTGTGAAGGTCCTATAATTGTCCCTGTCCTGTTTACCATTTCTGTCAATGACTTGGATGAAGACTAGAAGGCAGGTGACACAAAACTGATGGGGTGAGTGGCAGTGAGAATCTTCCTGAAGTGGTACATTGATGAGTTGAAGCACATCCAGAAGAAGATGACTAGCATGGATAGTGGTCTGGAAGCCTTCTCCTATTGAGATAAGTGGAAGGAAGGAACTGCAGAGCTCCAGTTTATCCTAGAGAAGGGATCACATAGTGAGGGCTGAGGTGGAGGCTTGTTTTCAGATATTTGAAGGACTGATATATGAAAGAAAGATTAAACTTGTTTTATGATACTCCAGGGGGCGGAAAGAGCACCAGTGACTTAAAGTTACAGGGACACAGATTTTGGCTCAGTACAAGGAAGAATTTTCTAATAATTATGCCTATTGAATAATGGAATGGAATGCCTTGGAATGTAGTGAGCTCTCCATCACTGGAAGTCTTTTGTCAGAGGCTGGGCATTGTTCATCCACCTATCATCCTTGTCATAAGGAGGGTTTCTGAAATGGGATGGAGCTTAGATTAGAAGACCTCTAGGGTCCCATCCACTTCTGGGATTCGCTAATTCTACCTGGAAAAAATGATTTTGCCTCAAGAAGATCGTATTAGTTTTTTCATATGCCCTTTCATTCCTGTTCTTAATTGAAGATGAAAACAAGCAATTTTGCAGAACCTCATCGGAACCCAAATGATTGTAAATGTGTGGAGAGCTTGCTTTCATTTTTTTTTAAAACTAAAGCACATATCTGAACTAAATGTCACTTTCTAAGGTGTGGCTATTATGCAGAGAATAGAACAGGAAATGAAAGACAGCAGGCAAGGAAATTAATGAGGTTAAGGTCTTAAAGGCAAGCAAGTAGATGACAAACGTAGTTCAGCGAGTGCATGTGAATAATGAGTCAGGAGTGACTTGGGGGCACTAAATTCAGGGAATCCACCTGAAGAAATGGACAGAATTCATTTGAAGTTTCACACTGGGGCCCAGCAAACCAAGGGTTTCCATTTAAGTCACTGCCAAGTCCCTGATGTTGCTATTAAGGCATGCCTGTGACCCAAGCCCACTTCTAAGGGCAGCGTCCCTCCTCAGGAGGCCTGGGCCCAGCTCTCTTTGCACAACATCTTTCCAGAGTGCTTGGGAATGTTCCCGATCTGACAGCTGCCTTCCATTCTGGGAACTCTGAAGGCCTGAGCAGGAAATCAGAGGATGTGTCGAGCATTTCGATAAAAGGCAGAACCTAAACGCATCTGGTTTGAAAATCCTTGGCACCTTGGGACTTTGGCTTGGTATTCACCACATCTCATGCATGTGTGTGTCTGATTTAATATATTTAGTATCGGCTTTATGAAGCGTGTGTACCTGCAGCCCAGTGTCATTGGCACCGTTGTAGCTCAGTTACACGGTATTGCAATTTGTTGTCATTTGGGGGAAGGCACAATTATTCCTTTCAAAATATTACACTGTGCAAAGGTTACAAAAGGAGGGCCTGTCAAGATTGCATGATGCTTGAAGCTCAGGGCAATTAGGAAGAGTGAATTTGCAATCACCAAAGTCGAAAAAAGCCCCATTGACCCTTGATGATTCCATTTTCTGTGAACCGTCCACAGTGATGACAGAATGCCAGCAAAGGACATAAGGCACTCATGTGTTCACTCTGCCCTGATATGGTAGACCCTTGTGGACAGACAGTATCCAAGTGGTAGTTTATAAACAGGGCCCCAGACAAATAACTAGGACACACTGATTACAAAACACTACCTTGCTGCCTGTCAAGCCCTTAGCAGAACAATGCAATCAAGTCTGCTTGGTACTGATAGGCAGAAAATCTATGGGGCGGTTTTGCTATTCAGAAACTGCATTTGATTATGGGTCATGGAATCATGGCATCATAAACCTCTAGAGTAGGAAAGAGTATATTGAGGTGAGCATGTTCAACCTCATTTTGTGATGTAAAGTGTTTTGCCCATAGTTATACACATAATGAGTGCCTCAGCTAGGATTCAAACTCAGGTCTTCCAACTCAATCCAACACTCTTTCCACTGTACTAGAAACAGAACTTTTAGTGGATTATTCCTTCTACCAAAACCCATGTGTCCCAAAACCCAATATTTGGGACAGGGTTGAGAAGGGAAAATGTGTCAGAATGTAGTTTGTCTCATAATTTATTATTGGTTAAATTAACACATTTTATTTACCATCTGTCTCACTGTCCTCATGCTGCCCCTGGCTAATAGGGCCCCCTTACTAGGAATCCCACCTGGTCTTATTCTTCTACCTAATACAGTTGTTTCTCTCCCATTCTCTGACACCTTGATCTTTTTTCCTAAATTCTTATTTATTAGTTAATGACTATTAAGGGAATCTCCTCTCCTGTTTTCAATTTAGCATGGACCTTGGCAAATGTTGGAGGGGATGTGGAAAAATTGGTCCACTAATGCATTGTTGGTAGAGTTGTGAACTGATCCAACCATTCTGGAGAGCAATTTGGAACTATGCCCATACATACCCTTTGACCCAGCAATACCATTACTAAGTTGGTTCCCTAAAGAAATCATAAAAAAGGAAAAGGACCTAAATGTACAAAAATATCTATAGCAGCTCTTTATGTGGTAGCAAAGAATTAGAAATTGAAGGGATGTCCATTACTTGGGGAATGGCAGAAAAAGTTGTGGTATATTATTGTGATGGAATACTATTGTGCTACAAGAAAAGACGGGCAGGCAGATTTCAGAAAAACCTGGAAAGAATTACAAGAACTGATGCAAAATGAAATGAGCAGAACCAGGAGAACATTGTATGCAGCAACAGCAACATTGTTCAATGACCAACTGTGAATGACTTAGCTATTCTCAGCCATACAATGATCCAAGATGATTCCAAAGGACTTATGATGAAAAATGCTATCCACCTCCAGAGAAGGAACTAATGGAGTGTGAATGCAGATTGAAACATACCTTTTTACTTTATTATTATTGTTTTTTGGTCTGAATTTTCTTTTGCAGCATGGCTAATATGGAAATGTTTTGCCTGACTACTCATATATATAGTCTATATCAAATTGCTTGCCTTCTCAATGACAGGGGGAAGAGAGGGATGAAGGGAAGAAAACATAGAACTCAATTTTTTTTAAAAAAAAGTGTTTTAAAATTGTTTGTTTACATATAATTGAGAAAATAAAATTAAATAAAAATTAAATGTAAAAAAGTTTAGCACAGACCTTTAGAAGGCAGTTCCTTAACCCAAAGGAATTAAGGAATGGAGAGAACTTCAAATATCCTGAAATGCTGCTGAGGGAAATGTAGGCAGACAGACCACAAATCACATAGTGTAGGCAACTACCTACTAGACCTAGTGGTAGGACTCAATTTGGAGAAATACCATGGTATAGTAGAAAGCAAAATGTACTGGGAATCTGGATTGTAGTGCCAGCTCTTCTAATCACTGGTGGCATGACCTTGGAGAAGTCACTTTATCCTTATGAACTTTTGTTTTTTCATCTGTAAAATGAAGGAATGGTCCTTCCAAATCTAAAATTCCGTTATATCAGTGGTCTCTTTAATCTCTAATACTCTGTAATTCTGTCATCTGGAGAGAAGCAATTTGGGCATAACTACAGGAATGCAGGATAAGGGTGATCAGCTTTATCCTGATCCAGTCTTTTTAAGTGAAGTGCATTGCATGGCACCAATACTAGATGCCAGGAGCATATTATGAGTTGAAAGGAATTTGCTTACTTTAACCTAAGTATCAAGAAAGTTTAAGGAAGTTGCCACTGAGAAGGAAGCAAAGGAGATAAAAATACAGATTTGGATCTTATGCTCTGCTATCAGAGTATGGCTGTGGGTCTGAGTCACAAAATAGCTGAAATACCTCTTGGATGGTGGGCCAGCTTCCCTTTCCCATCAGGAAAGTGGCTGCTTAGAAGTTTCAGGTCAGTAGAGAAACAGTAGCAGTCCAGCAGAAAGCCAATAAATGGCAGCATAACAGAGAAAACAGCTCAGCAGATGACATCAGCAGCTCTCCAGGGAAGCAGAAAGCCAGAGAAAACATTCTTATTTTAGGAGGTTGGGTCATCTAACACCTGTTGAACCTTTACCCACCAGTGGGAATCTCTTGTCGAGGTTGATCTGGCATGTATGGGGTGATTTTTCTTTGTTATTTACCTTACTACTCCACTTATTTAACATATTTTGTTTAAATTAATGGCTAATCTGCTTTGTTCAGGTAAAAAGGAAGAAGTGGGGAGGGGGTTTGAGTTGACCCAAAGGGTGCCTTGAATGTGGATGTAGGTTTCAGGGTCCTATGGTGGGGAGGGGGATGCAGGGGACAGATTTACTAGTTATGGTTGAAAAGCAGGAATTTCTTCCCCTCTTCTCCCCACCAGATTTTTTTCTACATGTAGATTTATTATCCAGTCTTGGGCAGGTTGCTTAACTTCTCCTGCAGGGCCTGGTACATGGCACATACTCAGTAAATAGTGGTTGAAGTATTAGGATAAATGACATAGAATCATAGATGACAAACATGGTATTAATCCAAAGTATATTCTAACCCTCAAAATAATGAAGCATACAGTAGAGTAGAAGGCCATCTGAGTCATTGTTCTTATTCCAGAAAGACTGATCTTGAGTCAGTGTTACTACTTTGTCATAATACCTCCTGATCTGTCCCCATCTCTACTCCTCCCTCCCCCCCAACAACAGATACATGCAAACAAGAAAGAGGCCAGGCCTACTCATCCTCTTGCCTAATTGTTGTCCTCCGGAATTTCCTCCCCACTTGATTCCTCTTTGCATGGAGTAAGTACTAATGCTCTTGTTTATTTACTCCTCAATGTCTAATTTTAGATTTGATCCCAAGAGACTTTGAAACCCTCTGCATATTGTATCTGGACCACTTTTGTGATCCTTTCCATGACCTGAGATTCCCCCATTAACTGTTCTTGAAGCGTCCTGTTTTCTGATGAAAACATACGTGTCAGTCCAAATTCTCACCATAGATGTATGGGAAAATTGCTAAAATGTGTCTGGCCTAATTTTCTCCTAACCTTTCCCCTGAACCCAAGTTTGACTTGGTGACATCAAGGGCATTTGCTTTTCTAAGGCTTCATATATTTACTGAAGATGAGGAACTGTAAAAGGAAAGCTTATTCGGCTGCTGACAGAGCAGAGAGCCATGGCCTACCCTATTTGAGTTAGAGTAGGACTAGCTGCAAGAGACTCCCTAAATTTATCCCACAATCTGGGTTGGAAATGAGACTATTTAACTGAACCCAGAAATCCCCTCAACAATGTTCCTGAAAAGAGGTCTTCCAGCCTACCCTTGTAGAACTTCAGTGATCCAGAACCCATTAGACTTCCTGGGCCTTCTCTCTCTCTCTCTCTCTCTCTCTCTCTCTCTCTCTCTCTCTCTCTCTCTCTCTCTCTCTCTCTCTCTCTCTCTCTCTCTCTGTTTTTCCTCACAGCAAAACTCAGTAAGCTCCTTTGTAAGATCTACCCATTACCTCTAGTTCTGCCCTCTGGAGTCAAGTTAAAAAAAAAGCCTAATCCCTCATCCACATTACTTTCCTTTAGATATTTGAAGACAGTTGTCATGTCTTCTCTAAGATTTTTGTTCTCTAAGCTAAATGTCCTTGAGTTCTTCAACTGCTGCTTATATTGGCATGTTCTCAAGGCCCCTCATCCTTCTGGGTTCCTGCCTCTAGCTGTGTCTGTCTTAACAAAATGAACAACTGTGAACTTCAGGTGTCTCGTGATTGGTCTTTGCTCCACAGCTTCCCGACCTTGTGCTACTCACTCAACTTCCTTGAGGCATTTCCTAGAATCTTGCTGAATCCAAAAGGTAAATGGCTTTCCTCCCTGAAGGACAAGAACAAATCTGAAATAGCTCAAAAGCCTGAGAAAAGGGCATCGCAATATCAGCACTGGCTGAGAATCACTTGAATACAGCATTTCTTAACCTGGGGTCCATGAACTTATTTTGATTTTTAATATTTTGATGACTATACTTCAATACAATTCATTTCCTTTGTAATTGTACATATTTTATCTTTGAGCTCCATTTTTGACTCTCTGGACTTATTTCTCTAGCATGACCCAGCAGCTTTTTCATCCAGGAAGATCCGTTCTCTCCTACTGTTCCTTCCTCTGACTGGTAATCTACTTCCTAGAAACTGCATTGCAAGCAAAGTACCCAGGCCAGCCATATTTATTTCTTTACTTCTCTCTGGGTTTCACTCTTGACTCTAGACTTCTTTCTCCAACGCAACCCAGTAGATTTCTCACCCTGGAGGACTGCTCCTCCCTGTGACTTCTTCTGATTGCTCAGTTCCTCACTGAACCTGCATTTTAAGGAAACTGCCCAGGTCATCCATTAGCCATGGTCACTCCCATCTTTTCTCTGTAGCCCTACCCCTGACTCTCGATGCCCCTCCCCTTTTCAGCTTCCTTTTATGTCTTGACTTCCTCCTTTAGAATGTAAGTTCCTTGTGGGCAGGGGCCCTCTTTTTATTTATTTTTGCTTGTGTTTATATTACTAGCACTTAGCACAGTGCCTGGTACACACAGTAAACTCTTAATAAACGCTTGTTGGCTTGTTGATTTTGTGCACTTGAAAACATAATTTTGAGAAAGGGGCCCATAGGTTTTCACCAGACTGTGCAAGGGGTACATAATAGAACAAAGAGCAAGAGGTCCATTGCTTTAGAATTTCATTTTTCTGGAGCAAGGCAGGGAAGGGATCTTGGTTTTTCCTGCCCTTTGACACCATTCCTGATTTGGGCAGTGTCACAAACAGATTCCATATACAACAAGCTCTTTCAGCACTGGCCTTTGAGCCATCCCCAAGGAGAACAGTAACGATGCCATTGCTTCCACTGCTGACATCTTTGGATGTTGTGAAATTATAGTCACTTTCTATTTTGACCAGACCTACGGATGTTGACTAAATCTGACTCACAGAAAGAAAAAGGCCCTTTGTGCTTTGGGGAGATTGTTATGGCAAGACAAGAATAAGAACTAGTCATGGTGGAGGAGTCACAATCATCCCTTCTTTACATTGCCACTTCTAGACTCTCTCCCAACCACCTTTACCCAGCAGCCTCTCCTCCTTGAGGTTTCTGCTACCCAAATTTATTATCCAATCCAGATCCTGGCGGCTATTAGGTACTGACCTCCCCCCACCCCCACCCCAGGATACTCTCCTTCCTTCCTCAATGAGTTCAGAGTCTGGCTCATAGCCTTTCTCTCCTCCACAACTCTTGCCCTCATACTAGGAGACTTCAATGTACATATTGATATCTCCTTAAGCATCTCGACTTCCCAGTTCCTCAATCTACTAAATTCCCATGACCTGCTTTTACTGTCTATCCCACTTATAAGCAGAAATGGTCATACTCTTGATCATTCTGTCCCCTACAAGTGTTCCACTTCCTTGTTCTTGAATTCTGAAATTCTCTTATCTGATCTTTTATCATTCCATCTTTGCCTTTGATTTACAAATCCTAGTCCTGTTCTTCATCCTAACTGTGACTCTCAATCCATTCTACCCTTCAGTTATTTCCCGGCAATTACCCTGGTACTGGCCATACTCTTTGCACTTCCCCTAGCCTAATCCATTAGTGAATCAACTCTATCATGCCCTCCCCTTGAGTCACTTGGCCCCTTGTCCTCTTGCTGATCGTGCCTTGACAACCTCAACCCTGGATTACTCTTACCATCTGCCTCCTTCATTCATGTGCTGCTAAATGGAGCTGAAGGAAATCACCAAACCAAGTCCACTACAAATTTATGTTGTCTAATTTCAACTGGGCCATTATTGCACCAAGGCAGACATCCTATTTATTGGATATCCCACTCTACACAGTGACTGTTCTAAACAATTTTTTTTGTTCTAAACACTTTTCTCTCAAATTTCCCATGGTATCTCCTCTGCCCAATTCTTTCAGCTGAGGACCTTAGCTCATTCTTTACCAGAGACCATTTATCAAGAGCTCCTCTTCCTCCTTCTCCTATCATATATCATATATCATACAGATATATTCCTCCAGTATCTTCCTCTTTGTTCTAGCCTTAGATTAAGGTGTAGCTCTTCTTATCAAGGTTTACCCCTCTGCATGTGTCTTTGGTCCCATTCTCTCCCATCTTCTCCAGAAGATTACTCCATGATCCTCCCCACTCTTAATTTCTCCCTATCTACTGGCTCCTGCCCTGCTGCCTACAAAAATTTCCATATCTTCCCTAGCCTTAAAAAGTCCTCACTTGACCCTATCATCCCTATTAATAACCCTTTTCTCCTTGATGCTCTTTTCTCTCCAGGTTTTCCTGACATTGCTTTCACCTGATTTCCATCCACTTATCTAACCACTTCTTTTCAGTCTCCTCTGCTGGATCTTCATCCATACTGCATCTGGTAACTGTAGGTGTCCCACAGGGCTCTGTCCTGGACCCTCCTTTCTTCTCCCTTTATACAATTTCACTTGGTGATCCCATCAGCTCTCATGGATTCACTTATCTCTATACACATGATTCTTGAATCTGTGTATCCAGCCCCAAACTTTCTGCTGATCTCCACTCTCCCATCTCAAACTGCCTAATAGACATCTCAAATTGGATGTCCTGTAGTTGTTTCAAACTCAGCACATTCAAAACTGAACTCCTTATCTTTTCCCCAAAGCCCTCCTCTTTAAACTTGCTTGTTACTGTCAAGGGCACCGTCATCTTCCCAAGCATCCTGGCTTGAAACCTTGGCATCATTCTCATTCACCCCACATATCCAATCTATTATCAAATCGTGTTGTTTCTACCTTTACAACATGCTGTATTCACCTCCTCTCCACTCACATAGTCACCTTCCTGGTCCAGGCTCTCATCACCTCTCACCTAGGCTATGGCAATGGCCTTCTTACTGGTCTCCCTTAAGTCTTTCTCTTCTGCAGTCCATCCTCCACTTAGCAGCTAAAATGGTTTTTCTGAAGTGTAGCTCTGACTCATGGGGCTCCAGTGGCCTCCTACTACCTCCAGGATAAAATAGAAAATTCTGCATTTGGTATTTAAAACCCCTCCCTACTTTCTCAGTTTTCTTACACTTGATTCTCATCCATACATTGCATGATCCAGCCACGTTTGCCTACTTGAAGTTTCTCGAACATGACTCTGCATTTCTAGTCCCTGTCTTTTGCCCTCACTGTGCCTTCTTCCTAGAATGGATGCCCCCTCAGGTCCACATCCTGGTTTCCTTGGCTTCATTCCTTCGAGACTCAGGTCACCAAATGGGGAATGGCTGGACAAGTGATGGAGAAGTATTTAATGGAACACTATTGTACTATAAGGGATGATGAAAGGGATGATTTCAGAGACACTTGGGAAGACTTCTATGAAATGATGCAGAGTAGAGTGAACAGAACCAGGCAACAAGGTATATAATAACAATACTGTAGAAACAAAACTTTGAAAGCTATAAGAACTCTTATCAATTCAGTGGCCAACCGTGACTCCAGAGGACTGATGATGATATGTACTACTCACCTTCTGGAAGCCAGGATAGCTAGCTTATACAGTAGATAGAGTGCTGGGCCCAGAATCAGGAAGACCTGAATTCAAATTCAGACCCAGATACTTACTGGCTTTGTGACCCTGAGTAAGTCACTTCACTTCTGTCTGCCTCAGTTTCTTCAAGTGTAAAATGGGGATAATGATATTTGTAAAGCACGTAATGCAGTGTATGGCATAGAATAGTTATTTAATAACTGACTATTTTCTCCTTCCCTGACAGAGCATTGGTGGATATA